TTTATGTCTCAGATACTGTGTTAACAAAAGGCTAAACTGCAGGAGAGATTCATCCTCCCCCATACTTTGCTGCTTTTCCTCTTACTTTATACACTTACGCTACACTCTATGCACTCTGTACAGTGGAGCCCAGACTCATAGGATGGATGTGAATTTAAGATTTTTTTTAATATATATTGTGTGAATAGTCTGACAAATGCAGAGGATTCCACATATCTTAGCATTTGTTTTCCTTTTTCTTTCTCTCACACAACACCTAGCTTCACTGAGGATTAGCTATCAACAGCCATTACACAGCAGTGAGTTAGACACAAGAGTTACTGAGTTACATAATGGTGTAAAGATCTGCAGACTCAGTAAGTCATATCTCCTCATGACTAGGGTATTTTTTTGGCCTTCTGGCTATATAGTCTATATTAAACTTTTTTCAGGGCAGTGCTTGAAGTAGTATTACTGAAGGAATTTTAGCACAGAAATTTCCTGGTACCTTAGGGATTTTTCCAGAACAAAACATTACCAAATTGCTGGCTGATCATTGGGAAAATGTGTCCCAGAATCACAACTGTGGACTTCTACTTTGTTTTAATCAGAGGGAAGAGACCGTTACAGTTTGTCATGTTTATACCCTACGTGCTGGGGGGGTAGTGCTTTCATTACATGGCCACAAAGTAATGGTGATTCTCTGCCTCTAAACTCTCTTGACAGAAAAGTGCTAGAACATTCTAGCTCTGGTTTTGCTTTTTTGTCCTTTTAGGGTTGTGTGTGTGAGGTTTGCATTATCACTTGTTTCATATTTTACCTCATAGGATGCAGGTTCTTCAGCACTTTGAGGCATTACTGTCATTTTCCCCTGTGTGGCGGGTCTTTTTTTCAGTGCTTGTTCGAGTATAATTATTTCTGCTGTGGTCAAGCATCAATATTTAGCATCTTTTCATAGAACAACGTAAGTACCTAATGTAAACATTTCAGTGGATATAAACACATCTCCTCAACTGAGAAGAAGAAAGGGTCAGGGTCACAAAGCCGAATCCACAAAGTTAGGTAGTGGTGTGAATTTGAGCATCACTGGGACTAATTGTTTAGCTCGTGGTGGCCAGAGCATAATCCCTGTCCTTGAGTTAGGCACCTGTACAGTAAGTGTGATGTAGAGATACCCAGGGTGCTTTCGCATTGGCTAATTTAGCTGCTTTTCAGGGTGGATTATCACACGGAGCATTTCATGCTCATGACAGTGGAGTTACCTTGAGTTATGCTGCCTGAAGCTGGAGGAAGGCTTTTGCTTTCTGTTGTTCCACTTGATATAAAACAAATCAAGACTCTCTGGGCTAAGAGGGTGAGAGCAAAGGAATGACTTACTCATTGAAAGGCTTGGACACCCGCTTGGGAGGGAGGAGCTCTCAGTTCTGGTTTCTGCCCTATTTCTGAGTTTATGTTATAATGGGTATCAAATACTCCTACTTATTTCTGCCAGAGTGACTGAATTTTTTCTAGATAAAACATTAATTAAAATGGAGATAAAATGGACTACTTAACCTTTCCCTATTCTGCCTCACCTCACCTCACCTTTGCTAGTGTGCGCTTGCAGGCCATTAAGTGCAATTAAGTAAACTCATCAGTGGGTAGAAAGCAATGATTAGGCATTTCCTAAGCTGGAACATGTTTAGGGAGACCGTAATGTAAGAAAGTAACCAGAGTAACATTAATGTTTTGTCTAAAGCTGGAGCCGATGATACCTGGGTGAAAGTTGAAACATTTCCTGGTGAAGTGGTATCCCACTGAAGTCTGTAAGACAGAATTCTGTCTTCGAATTAGTGGGAACAATATTCTACCCCTTATCTTTTATGCATTCTTTTGGCCTTTGATATTGCATACCATGTTGATTAGCAAGTGAATTCACATCAACGTGTTCAGCATATAAGGACCTTCTTATACAGAGGCAACGTTGGCTGCATGTTGTCTAAAGGTATTTACATTTTGTAACATATGTAGCAAGTTCTTAAGGGGGGAAAGCTTTTGTTTATGTTCATTCATGGGTGATATTTTCCTTTTGTCATTGCGAGCAGCAGATGAAGGAACGCAAAAGTACATGTTCAGTAGTAAAACTGACCACTTCTGAGCTGTGACAAATCACACAACAGGTAGTGATCAGGGGAAAAAAAAAAACAAACAAACATCAAACAATAACCCACAACCTAGAATATGTGTCATGTTAGCACTGTCTAACATGCAGGTAAAAAAAAATACAGGGAAATACCTTGAGAATCTAAGTAGATCTTGGGTTACTGGACAATTCAGAAGTATTAAGACACAAGCAGTTTCACATATTCCTGTTCACAAAAACATAGGCGCAAGCAATGCTAGGCAGCAGCTCAAAGGGATTTTAGGAAGTTGTCATTAGCAAATAAATGTCACTCAGGCACCTAAAAGTAGCAAATGGATACCTGGCTTTACTGATTTAGCCCCAAGTGCCTACTGTGCCAGTCAAGTAACGGTTGGCCTGGCCACACTGGAAAGCTACCGTGCTATGAGTGAGGCAGCATGAGTTCTGTCCTAACTATTGCCAAGGGCCTGCCATATGACTTTGTACTTGCCGATATTTTATTTCTCCTTCCAAAACAGGAAAAGGGGGAGGTTTCTGGACTTCTGTCATGTTTCCTTCTCAAATTGCTCTAGGTACAGTTTGTCATCCCAAGATAAACTTTGCAAAACCTCGCTTGCCACTGGGGAGGGGAGAGAGAGAATTCATTTGGACAAGCATAGTTTGGGTGTGCATCTGGTGTATGCAACTTTGTCCTGTGTTCATAGTAGAATTGTGTGATATAAGGGGTTTGCAAGTAGCTAGTAACATTTTTATGAAAACAGGTTAAATACTTTGTTTGTTTTAAAACCCATTCTCTGGTTGATCCCTAGGAGAGAGAGTGCAACAATTGTCCCCATGTGCTCATGCTGTTTAGCTTTTGCTAAACATGAGGAAAGCAGATTATAGCTTTTAAGCGCTAAGCTTTGGCTTTTCTGCAGGTCTGTGTGAGGGGTGACGTTGCTTTGGTGCCTTGAGTACAAAAATGTTTAGCTTGGAAGCGTGCCTAAATAGGTTTAATACACACGCTTCAATAGTCATATAGGTAGCTATTTAAGTTCAGTTTAAGCCTAGCAAAAATAACACATACAAACCAGAAGCAAAAGAGGCCATGCAACCTTTTGTACTTATTTAAGTGCATTGGTTGAAATTAAATTAGCGCGACCTTTTTTTAATGCAAACAATGGCTGAGTTAAATGCTGCTATCAGCTGGAGAAGGAAAACTGTCAGTATCAGTACCTTACAAGTGGCATGGCTTACTTTATCAGTAATGCAGTAATGGAAGGATTGGGGATTAGAAGTTCCAGAGAGGCTGCCCTTCCTCCCACAGCTGTTCTCTGTAATAGAGGATGGGGGTAAACCCAGACTGATTTTGTCCAGATGGACTCAGAACATTGTACGGAGAGAGGCTACAATAAGTAGTTTAACACTTGTTAATTGGAAGACGTTTATAAGAACTCCCTTCTCAAATTTAACTCGGAAGTAACCAGAAGCCTACAAGTTCTCATACATTTATTTACTACTGGAATTCCTATTACAGATCACTGTCTTGTAAAACCACTTCTCCTGGAAGAACAGTCAGTAGACCATTCTCCTGAGAGCTACGGTTATTCTCTACCAGCTTGAGAACAAGTCCATGCCTGAGCATTCTGTTTGTTTTCTGGCACCCAAGCTTTCTTCTTTCATGTGTATGAGCTATTGCACGTGGCGATGATAGCCTAACATGGCATAACACAAGCCACAGGACTCTGCACACTGAAGGAGCATGCGCAGTGCTTAGTCGGCACATGTAACCTCCTCAGCTTTTCATACCGTTTCCAAGGGGCATTTAATTTCTAGTGTAATCCTAAGCAGTTCCTTTTTAAGAAGAACACATACGTTGAAGTCAGCCTGTAATTTCTAGTGCTGATAGTTCCAGCAGGGTTGTTGAGCTGCATTTATGTGGACACTGAAAGAAAACGGTGACATAGAACAAGCACTATTCTTGTGGTTTTCACTTGCCCTGACATAGCAGAATTCACATTTTTTTCAAGGAATTGTTCTGTAGAGTTCCGAACAACTGTATCGCGGAGCTTTAATTGTCTCCTGTTCTTAAAATAGAAACCATTAGAAACTAGTGTTGCAGTGCTTTTTTTCTTTTTTAACTGATCAGTCTAATCTCTAGCCTGCAGCTATTGTTAAACTGCTAATAAAAAAAAATGCAATGTAAGTTAGCCAGCAATTTTTGTTAAATTCAGAGAAAGTAATTCAACAGTTCCTTTTTTCAAGGCACTTGATACTGCATTTGGTGGGGAAAACTACATTCTCAGAAATATTTCCGTAATGTGTGTTTTTGTATTTTCCTTCGGCTTAGCACAATAAATGCCTTATCAAGGGTGGCTTTTCTAATTTCAGGAGAAAACGTAAGTGGACCATATACTTGTATTATAAAATAACTAGAAAAGATAGTTTGTGTGCATGTGAGTAAGGTGTGTATTTGCTTAACCTTATCTAGTGCAAACAGTTTTCCAATACAAGATTTGGGGGTTTTGCAGCTCGTTTACATTCCCATAATGCATATCCCAGGATTTCCTTAGCATGTGCAAAGGATGACAAATATCAGTACTTCATACAACTATATTTAATAAGTTATTACAGAAAAAAATAAAGTCCAAACTACAAAGTTTAAGCAGTTGTAAGCAATAGCAGCATTGAGCTCCATGTTTAGTCACAGTACTGCAGTTCCATACAAGCATTAGTCCAAGCCAAAAAGGAAGAAGCCTTGTTAGAATTACTAGCAAAAACAATCTAAGAGAACATGTAATAAAAGATACAGTACATTTAAAATTAGTTGAAAAACAAGTACAGAGGTCTTAGCTGTGAATGCTCTAAAAGTTATGTCCATTATTTTGACAGTAAAATTACAAATATCTAATACTTTATACCCCAACAGAACTACGTCCAGGAAAAAAAAAAAAAGAGCCGAAATTATCTCTTATTAGCACCCTGGTTCTCTACTTACTGCTAAACTTTTTCTCATGTAAATTTGAGTGTGTCAGAATTGTGTGACCAATGTGATTTCTGACCAGCTACCCTTTTGGGGTATAGAGTAGTCACTAACATGAATATAAAATACTCTGTGGTATGACAGAACACTATAGCAGCAGAGATTAAGAAGTTTGTCTGGTTTAAAAAAAAAGAAAGGAAGGAAGGAAAAGAAAAAAGGGTTTAGCTGACATCATACAAACCAGCATAAAAGCAACTACATACAAGCCAGATTAAACAAAAGAGACATTTCTACAAATCTGTGACTAATCTTTCACTCATACCTTGCAAGTAGAGATGTCACAATACTGAAATATTAACATGGGAGCTTTTCCCAGTTAAGTGCCTTTTTTTTTCTTTTTTTTTTCTTTTTTTGCTACTCTAACAGATAGTGAAATCAGCAAAGTTATTTGCTAACTGCATATTTGCAATACAATTTGTTTTAGCCCATGCCTTGCTAGCAGGCTATAAAATACAAGCATGTAGGCAGAAATATAAGCATAAACTTTGTACCACTTAGCAGGAATTTTTTTATTCCCTCTTCATTCCTTAATCTCCTTTGTTTGCAATTTGCATACATTCCAACCAGTAGTACCTAATTTGAGTCTAAATTTTACTTCACTATTTGATCTAGTCTATACATTACTTACAGAACTGAACACACAGAGGATACACAACAGACCAACTCGGGACACTTTTCTTTCCGCAAGTTACAGATGAGCCACTCTAACACTCTAGCGTAAGTTAGTCTAAAAGGTCATCAATAACTTGTTGAAGTAATTGTTTTGTCCAGAGAAAGTCATTGTATGCCCTGTTTACGCAACACCAGTTTTAGTCTGGATTGGTTTAGGTGCCAGAACAGAGAGTCACTGGCTTCAGGAAGGGGTTTCTTCTGGCTGCACGGGGAAACAAAGGTGATGTAAATGGAGGTGAATGAAAGGTGTTTTGATACTGGCACTTGGTATTGCCAGTACAAAAGAAAAAAAGGACAAGGACACAGGAGATGCAGAGAAGAACGGAGAAAGACAAAGAAGCTGAACGGACGTTCAGACGTGGTGGCAATATGGGTTACCGCATTGCTACCAGGAGATGGACATACGTTATTCTGCATTAACTAGGCAGCTACCAACACTACGTGGTAACTTCGTTAGAAAATGATGTGGGTACCTACAGTCTGCTCCACGCTGCCACTGATAAACGTATGCAGGAAGGAAGTTGTGCGGGAAAGGGTCAATTTAATTAAATAAATAACACGGTGGCAAAATACAATGAAGAATATATATTTTAGGAGGTTCAATCTAAGACTATTGAAAAGCGAGTTTATTGAGTTCATGACGAGAAAAGTAATGGAGCGTTATGCTGAATGGGCAGGGTCAAAAACCCATTCTTTCAATAGATTTAGTTCCTTATAACGGCAATAGTATTTCATCAACACTGGTAGTGTATAAATCTAGACAGCGAACTGGTACTGTGACATCCCTATTATCTCCCTAAATCATTTTGATAAAGGAAAAGGCTTTTCAAAATATCACATTTTTTCTGCTTCATTCTGTCATTTTATTGCCCAATTCTTTGTTACAATTTTCCAATCACTTTACATAACCAACCATTTTCATCATTGCCACACTATTGTAAACCACATCAGCAAGTTAATACATAAAGCTTTGCATTTCAAAAAACTAGACACTTTAGTAACAATATTACAAAGATTTTAGCTTCAAAAATAACTGAAAATGAAAAAAATAAACTTTTAAAGAATTAGCATCATAAAATTAATTTATTCCAAGTAAAAATACAAAATAATATTAATGACATTGACCAGATATGAAAGTCTCTCCCAGAAACAACTATATTAATGGTTGAGAAAGCACTCCTTAAAGAAAATACGAAATAAAAATGAAAAATATGTAAATATGTTTAATTTTTTTCTTAGCAAAAAATCTTTCTAAAAATAACAATGAAAATTTGTCTCAGTACAAAGGCTACATTACTATTGAAAAAATACCAGCATGAAGAAAAGGTACATATTTGACAGTAGAAAAATGATTTTAGTGAATCACAATGTCTAAAGTCTGCAATGAAAATAAATCTGCAATAAAGATTTATGCCTTTTTTCTTTTCATTTTTCTTTTTTTTTATACAAACAGTACAAACAGTATTGCACATAACAACAAATAGTCGAGGTTAGGTTAGCCTTCAAAAAAATCGACTAGTTCAAGTCTCACATCAGAAAAGGCCACAATAGGACCTGTTGTACCCAGGGGCTTCTTAGTCAAGTTGCAGTTCAGAACTCCGTATTTTAAAAAATAACTTTTTTTGAAGGACCCTCTTTTAATATAACATATTAACAACTCAGGGGCACATTCATTTACAAAACAAAAGGGAGCATGTCATAATTTAATAAACTAAAAAAAGTTCTCTTTAAAAAAATACAAACAGAAGAACTCTCACAATTCTGGTCAGTCGTGCATAATCACACTTGATTATAAATATACAAATTAAGGGAAAATATTTTTTCACCTTCTATTCACAACTTTCAGCACCAAATGGAGTTTGTGTTTACACCTGTTCTTTATGATTATTTTGTTTTAGATTTAATCCAACATTATGCTATATTGTACATTTTCCAGCTTCTCTCTCTCTCTCTCTCTTTCTCTCTGGGGTTTATTTTTCTACATGAAAGAGGGGTATTTCTTCAAAAAGGTTTACTTCTTTCACATAATTAGGTAGATTTCTGTAGGTTAGCTATGATCTTTAATATTACAGTTATAAAGCTCTAACTTCTTCATTTTCAAAAAAACTCAAATAAGCATGAAAAAAATAAAGTTACCCATCTGTTAAATCATTTTTCTTGCAGAATTAAATTAATATATATTTTTCTGAATAAACTTACTTAGAAAATATCATTTTCTTTCCTATATTTCAAAATTGAGGTATTGCAAAAGATCATGTCAGTCAGAAAGCATGCCTTTTTCTTTAAAAAAAATCATCAGCCGACTGTTGAAAACTGTCTAGATACAAAAAGTAGTGCATAACAAAATGTCTTGTACAGATGAAAAAAAAAAAAACAGAAAAGACACCTGGGCTGGGAAAAGCAATATCACAAACACGCCCAGAAGTAACTTCAAAAGGGATAATTATAATAAGCATTTTAAACCAGTAAAAAACTATTTTTTCTTTTTTTTCCCCCAAAAACAGAAAAAAAACCCTTTCAAAGCCAATACTTGCAACTAAACATTGGGAAAAACAACTTACTAAATTAAGACACAAACAAGGACATCACAACAAACAAAACCCGGAACATTTAAATCTACTATGCGGTGTCATATCCAGTCAGATTGTCCCCGGAACTGCGAAAACAAAGGAGGAAAAAGAAAGAAATAGTGTACACATTCTCACAATCATTAGTATACCAAGTGTGTTTATATTTATATGCTATCTGCAGCCCCATAGTTCATGCTAAAAAAATGTCCACTGTGTTAGCAGGTCTTAATTGTATTCAAGCTTCACAGGATGCATCCAGGGATTAGAGAGATAACGCCACATCCACAGAGCAGACATCTCATGTTACTTTTATATGCAGACATTTCTTTAGCACCACTTTTTTCCTAACTTTCTTAATGTGCCTAGTTTATTAGTTTGACAGACTATCTAATCGGTAGTGTATGTACGCTAGCATGAGCTCTTTGGTCTTCTGAACAAGGTCTGCAGCTACGTAAATGATGCAAGCGTTAGGAGAGAGATTGTAACTAAGAGCTCATTTCTGTTTCTGTACCTGTTATGAACTGTCAAAAATGTGTTAATGTCGGATACAGAGGCTTTAACAGTTAAGTTTGATCACAGTACTAGACATAATCACTTTACTATATAAAATAAATTGCACGATATATAACAGAGCACCGCAAAGTACTTCATCTACCATCCACAAATTTGTTTTAAGAATATCCTACAGCTAGTTTTTATATTTGTTGTAATATAGGTCGTTCTGTAATGGGCTGATCCTAATTTCAGAAGCATTACATTTACTGAGGCATGCCTTCCTCCAGTCAGTAATCAATTTTTTTTGTTACTGAGTATTTTGTAGCCTACGTAGATTCGTAATTTGTGCATTGTGGGCAGGTTTTATATTAGACATATATAAAATTTATTGCATGCAGCAACCTGATTAAGTAAACATGCAGTCAAAAAAATATTGACCTTCCTTGGAAGCTTTTCTGTATGCTATACTGATCTCCTTTCAGCAGCCATCACTATTTTAATCACATATTCATTTTTTAATTGATACCCTAGCCTGAATAGAGTATTCTGGTATTAGTAATACCATTTTAATAGCAGCAAAAGCTATTGCAGCATACATTTACATAACACTAAAAGACCTAACAAAAAAACCCCAAAACCAACAGAACAAAACAAACAAACAAAAATAAACCTCAGCAAAACAAAAGAAAAAAGTCTGATCCAGCTTATGAGGTATCATCCTTACAAGTCAAAATGGAGAGCAACTAAAGGCTTATTTTCTTTAAGGGTTATTACTACTCTAAATGACCCAAACTAATGATTGCTGAATATCCGTTTAAGTTTTTGCTACATCTGCCACCTACTTGTGAATATTACCTTTGGTAAATCATCTGCTAGGGGCAAGTCTAAATTTCTGAAAATAAGTGCATGCTCCAGTTTAAAAATAAAAATAATTATAATAAAAAAATCTTCATCACATACACATCAACCCAGTGAAGGCTGATGAGAATGGCAGTCTACATAATGTCACTAGTGACAAGTCTTGTGTAGGAAATTAAGGTACCAAGCAGATGTTTGTGTGAATCAAAGTGCAAAATCAGTACAGTTACACTCTGCCGGTTTGTATTATACTGGACACTGAGTTCAGTAATGTGACTGTAAATAATAATAATAATAGTAATAAAAAGACCCATATCTTCATTAAAGTCGAGGACGAATGCACAGATTTCCAGAACACTAAGCCCTGAGGCAGCGCTCTCTTTTCACTCGATTTTATCTACTCCAGTACTTGTTGCTGGGTGGGGCCTGGGGTTCAGCTCCAGCGGAACGGGACGTGGCGGGGCCGGTCACCTCCCTCCTTTACCAGTGGTTTGTGGAACTCTCGCCCAGCACGAGAGTGTATGCTTGCCCAGCAGTATTCACAGTAATACTGCAAACAGGTAACATTGGCACAAAAGAACGGAGCAAATTTTCCACCACAGCGAGTGCCCTGGCATTCATCACACATCTGATCATCCAGCACATATGGCTTCACTTCCACCTGCACCAGGAAGAAGAAAAATAACCGTAAGAAGATTACATCGTTTTGCTAACTGTGTAAAACTAACAGAAGGAACAATATTCTAATTGTTCTGACTCTCTTGAAGGTTTTCAACTGATGCTGGATTAACCCGAAGAGGTTGGTAGTTAAGTTTTCATACCAACCACTTCACTGGTCAGCAAATCTCAAGAAAGAAGGGTGCGCTTTGGTAACTATTCAACATTTCTTGGAAAAGTTAGGCATGTGGAAGTACTAAGATGGAAGTACAGTAAAAATAGCATCTCCAAGGATTTTGCTGCTGTCTAAGAAACCTCCAGGAATGTGAACACAGTTGTTACGGAGGCAGGGCGCGAGAGCAGCAGCATTTAGGAAGGAAAATTATAAAGAACAAACTTATATTCCTAAACTTCAGAGGTCTGGTGAGTTTCAGAGGTTTTTTCCAGAGAGGTTTTTTTCTTTCTTTCTTTCTTTGTGTTCTGTGAAAAAACTTTTTTGCAAAATGCAGGACCAGACTAATAAATGAAGAGAAGATTCAAATTAAACAAGATTGAATGCACTTGTATTAAATACTCTGCCTTCTGCTGACAAAAATCACTATCTAAAGATTTTTAGCTCTAGAAATGTAGTAAGATTTCACAGTTGTTCCAACTGCGGCCTTGCCATCAGTTAGAAATAGGCTGGAGAGCTGCTGACTTTTGTCCTACACTCACTTGTAAACGTCTTAGGACCGGAATTCTTTTTGGCTTTAAAGCACTTGTGCCAAACACAGCAGTATTTTGATGCATGACTAGGCACTTGCAATAATACTATTACAGAAGTTGTCAACATGCGAGTTCTCTGCTGTGTGTCTGTTCCTATAAAACCAAGCCTACGCATTTAAATTGAGTGTTTATTCATTCTGGGGAAATCATTAGTTTATGCACGTGTAATTCTTATGGCTCTATGATGCTGTTCATAAAGCGGTTTAAGTACAGTCAACTACATTACAAGAGACAGAAAAAATTGAAATATACATGCTTTTATTGTAAATAATTTTGCTGTAACTGCACAAGTGCTAGTCTGGCAAAATTTGTATATTGCAAGGAAAACTTGACTCCAGTAACTACACTTAAATACATACAGTATTAAAGAAACACAGAATGAGATACTAAGTTGAAAAACAAGAAACATATTATACAAAACAGCTTTACGCTGAATTTTACTTCAGCTTATCCTGATCACATTTCAACAAATGTTACTCATTTGAAGTAAAGCTTATGCAGTGAATTCTATTTCTTGCCTATGGAACAGCTAGAACTGCCAATCTTTTTTTTTTTTTTTTTAAATTACACTGTACTACTAGTATTGCATGGAACAAGTCTGAATAACTGGCATTTTGCATATCAGATGCCCTACCACTAAAATTAGAAGCATCACGTAAAATAAAACAGCACTGTCTCAGATGAAGTTGGAAGAAAGCAGGCCCAATGTCCAGCACATCTCTAGATCCCCACCTACTCACATTTCCGAGGCATGAATTTTGAAGGTCTGAAAGAGATTCTCACTCCTTTTCTTGTTTTGGTTATTAATGAAATAATTTTAAGAATGTATGCGCTACAATTCAGGGATTTCAATCTATTAGATTTAAAAACTAATATTTAAGGACTGATTAAGAGACTTCACACTTCTTCAAACTCACAGATAAACCTATTTTAAAAACAGATAAAGATGATAATTAAGTAAATTATCAATCAACCAACTGGGAAAAGTACTGATTGGTGGAAAAAACTACCAGCTAGCATCATTTGTGGCTCTATCCTAAAGCTTAGAAAAAAAACCCAAGTTTTTATGCATGGCTGATATATAAATCTCAAAGGGTTCAACACTGTGATTAAGACTCCAAAATTAATCATCTTAGTCTCTCTGTAAGATTTTTCAGAATTCAATGGACAAGAAATATTTAGGAACAGCCTTGTTTTAGTTAAAATCATGAGGTATAGTAGCACCATCGAAAAATAGTTTGAGGACTTACAACTCCATGACCTCATCTCATCTGACAAAAAGTTCAGTTCAGATTTTTAAAGAGAAAGTAAAAAGAGCTTGGACTTTCAGCCATGTGTTTTTATATGTATACTGCACATACTAGACACAGCCAATACCTGTCAAGCTGACTTCTTAAGAAACAATTTATATTAGATTAAGTGGAAAACAAGCCATCCCTATTGTGAAAATACATAGCAGCCATGCATGCTGTATGTTCTTTTGAATAATCCTAAATGCCAAGTCCTCAAAAACATAAGTGTTATTTGTACATGTAATCAAGAGGTGAAGACAGAAGGTCTAAAGGAAAAAAAAAAAATCTTGGAAATTAAATAATTCTTTCTTTTAATGTCTTCAACTCAGATTTCAGTAAATACCTTAACTTCACTCTAAACTCGAAAAGCCCTTTAGAAACCAGGATGTCATATGGACTGAACAAAACCATCTCATTTTCCCCCTTTTTGCCTATCAAGCATCTACTGGCATTTGGTTTTGGTTAAATAATTCTCAAGACTTTTGAGGTCAGCATTACCTATTATACTTGTGATAAACCTCTGTTTTAGGATCCTCAAGTCTAGACGTAAATTGTCGTGAGAAAATGTTGCCAAATAATAGCAGAAATGGCAGAAGCTGTGTAAGTAGCCACTAACTAAAAGCTGTTGATGCACAACGAGCAAACATCTAAAGAAGGAGGAAGAAGCTGGGAAATGCTACAGTGTTTGACCTTCAGAATTCAAAACAAAACCAAGAACAAATGAGCTTACAACCAACTACTTTCTGGTTTTAGTGCTAAACAGTTATTTAAGATGTTTAAGATAGATTTTTTCACTCTGCTTTAGCTGCTTAAATAAGCTTTTAAATAATAACAAATGTCATCTGAAGAACAGAGGTTACAGTGTTCTCCAACACAGTATTAATATAAGGATGTTTTTAATTTCTGTAGAGTTTTGTGAGTAACAACCATTCTGTTCCATGCTATTTTACTTACCCGTTTGTCAATGTCATTATGTTGGAGCTGGACAAAGCGAGCACTGATAGCAGCAATATAGCTCTGCTGATTGGAGAAAGCCACTCTGCCAGCACCTTTTGGATACTTCAACTCTGGGTCTGTATCAATGCCAGCATAGCAGACACCTCCATATAAACGGTCCATAATCATTGCCAATTCAACTGCAAGGAGTCAATTGTTAAATATTATAGATTTAACATCAATAATAGCATTGCGTTTGGTTTGTTGCATTAAAAAAAGCGCTATTTGCCTTAGCGTGCTTGTCTTCCAAAGTCTAAAATAGCAAACCCAAACATTGGTTTTAACAGATTGATTCAACCCGACATAATTACAGTAAGATATAAAGGCAAAAACCAGAATCCGTAAAAAGAAACTTGGTGTGACTGAAGTGTGAAAAAAATGCAGAGTTACATTGTTAAAGTAGATATCAGGTCAACTGTTTTAGACTTTATCATATTGTAAATTAAAACTGTGGTATTTGGGCTTAGGTATTCAGGATCTCCCCCAGCTCCAGCCAGGCTTGTTAATGCTAGTTTACATATAAGATCACTTAAAGATAGTCCTGTATTTAGAATCTGATATTTTGCCCTAAGTACTAAGGTTGAAAAGACATTAAGGAAGTGTTTTACATTTGAAACAAAATTTTGTGAAACATCAGAATTTATTGCACTTAAAGCAAGCCTACATTTTGGGTACAACTTAACTTAGTATTTTTGTAGAACATTGACTTGATTGTGGATCTTTTAAAATGGTTTGTTGCTTTTTCTGCAACTAAGAAAAACTCTAAAGAAGTTATAAATATCATTCATAAAATAAGACAGGCTGAGTGCGTGGCTGAGGACACATACAGGAGGAAAGTTAAGGGAAAGAACTGAAGGAAGTGGAGAAGAGGCTGAAGGAAGTGAATTAGTTCCATCTCTTCTGATCACCAAGCCAAGTTCTCTGTAAAAGTTGATAGGCAGACAAATTTGTCAGATGGATGAAGGGCAGACCCTCACAAAGCACGATCCTGGGACCTGTACAGGCCCTGCCAAGTCAGCCATTTTTTATGCTAATGTGTGAAAACACTTTCGGTAGCTAGTTAAAATTTAGCTATCCAAGATAAAATGAAAAAGATATACTAAATATTTAAATCCTTGTAGTTCTCACAAAATTCTCACGAATTATATATAGAATAGAGACAATTTTTAAATTGACTATGTATGTGTGTTTGTATAAATGTGTGTGTCACATTAAGGGAAGACCATATGCTAATTTGTCCATTTGCAACGAGCAAACAAACATCTAACTCATTCTACCAAACCAGAAAATACTCCTGCTCCAAACAGTAAGGGAAAACTATCAGCATAATGTAGCGACTAGTAGATTCTTCTGCATTCTAATGATTTGGAATCATCATTTGGGTAATGATCTTGGAAGGTGACACTACAGAATAAACATCAGGAACGCTTAAAAACATTTACAATAGTAGTTTCAGTAAGTTACTCTTCCCAACAGACACAGAATATATAGGATTCCAGGGCAAGGAAACCATGCAGTGTTCAGACATCTTAGGAAAAACTTCTGTATCAGACCTTTAAAGTTGCAAACAAGAAAAACTGGAAACTATTTGTCTGCTTTGGAGAAGTTAACTATTTAAAGGCATCAGTTTTCAAACATAATGCATTTCAAGTGTAATCTATGACAGGCCAAATGACATACAGTTTTACAAAGGCTATAATTAGAAATGAGGTAATGTTTAATTGTTACTATTTACATAATTACCATCTTACAATTATGCCTTATTTTAAGATGGTGAGGAAAGTGAAAGCTGCCAAGAAACCTGGGCTGGGAGAAATCTTATTGTCAGCAATGGCTGGGGGACGTTGTGTACAGCTTCCCAAAAGAATGAGGATTAGGAGAAAGATAAAGCCAGGAGCTGAAGTTCTAGTGGGCTGGAAAGTGGCTGCCAAAGTAAAGTGAGGGCTATCAGGAAACCTGATCCGGAAGTCTTTCTTCCAGACAATGACTGAAGGGCCTTGTCTACCACAGCCCTGGAAAATTAGGATTAGGGTTGAGAGGACAAGAAAGAGAACCCATGCAGCTGACTCGGAGTGAGGATGGAGAGGGACTACTAAGAGGAAGTGAGGGCTGCCAAAACACCTCAGCTAGGAGAAATGTTTCAACTTGCTAATGGCTTCATGACCTTGTCATTGGCTCACCAAAAATGTAAGGGTTAGGAAGAAAGAAAAGAGTGTCGAGCTACAGTTGGGAGCAGTGCTGAAAAGAGGCCTTCAAAACAAAGTGGGGGCTGCCAGGAGGTCTGGGCTGGGTTAAATCTTTCCTCTGGCCAAAGGCTAAGGAGTCTTGTCTATGGCTCTGCAAACAAAAGTGAAGAAAAAGAGTTACGGGTGAAGAAAAAAGATTAAGAAAAAGAGCTACATTAGGAGTGGGCCTGGAAAGTGGCCTTCAGTACAGAGTGGGGCCACCAAGAGACCCAGGCTGGGAGAAATTTTTCTTCCGGACAATGGCTGAGAGGCCTTGTCTATAGCTCCATGGGAAAAT